GTGTATCACAGGTAGATTGTGTATAGCGTGTGTTGATGTAGGGGGTATGACATGTACACTGTGTATAGCGTGTTTTGAGGTAGGAGGTATCACATGTACACTGTGTACAGCGTGTTTTGAGGTAGGGGGTATCACATGTACACTGTGTATAGGGTGTGGCGATGTAGGGATATCACATGTACACTGTGTGTAGCGTGTGTTGATTGAGGAGTATCACATGTACACTGTGTGTAGTGTGTGTTGATGAAGGGGTATCACATGAACACTGTGTGTAGCGTGTGTTGATGTAGGGGTATCACATGAACACTGTGTGTAGGGTGTTGATGTAAAGGGTATCACATGTACACTGTGTGTAGCGTGTGTTGATGTAGGGGTATCACATGAACACTGTGTGTAGGGTGTTGATGTAGAGGGTATCACATGTACACTGTGTGTAGCGTGTGTTGATGAAGGGGTATCACATGTACACTGTGTATAGCGTGTGTTGATGTAGGGGTATCACATGTACACCGTGTATAGCGTGTTTTGAGGTAGGGGGTATCACATGTACAGTGTGTATAGCGTGTGTTGATGTAGGGGTATGACATGTACTCTGTGTCTAGCGTGTGTTGATGTAGGTGTATCACATGTACACTGTGTATAGCGTGTGTTGATGTAGGGGGTATCACATGTACACTGTGTGTAGAGTGTGTTGATGTAGGGGTATCACATGTACAACGTGTATAGGGTGTGTTGATGTAGGGGTATCACATGTACACTGTGTATAGTGTGTGTTGATGTAGGGGTATCACATGTACACTGTATATAGCGTTCGTTGATGTAGGGGTATCACATGTACACTGTGTATAGCGTGTGTTGATATAGGAGTATCACATGTACACTGTCTATAGCGTGTGTTGATATAGGAGTATCACATCTACACTGTGTGTAGCGTGTGTTGATGTAGGGGTATCACATGTACACTGTGTATAGCGTTTGTTGAGGTAGGGGTTATCACATGTACACCGTGTATAGCGTGTGTTGATGTAGGGGTATCACATGTACACTGTGTGTAGCGTGTGTTGATGTAGGGGGTATCACATGTACACTGTGTGTAGCGTGTGTTGATGTAGGGGTATCACATGTACACTGTGTATAGCGTGTGTTGATGTAGGTGTATCACATGATCAGTGTGTGTAGCGTGTGTTGATGTAGGGGTATCACATGTACACTGTGTGTAGCGTGTGTTGATATAGGAGTATCACATGTACACTGTACATAGCGTGTGTTGATGTAGGAGTATCACATGTACACTGTGTATAGGGTGTTGATGTAGGTGTATCACATGTATACTCTGTATAGCGTATGTTGATGTAGGGGTATCACATATACACTGTTTGTAGCGTGTGTTGATGTAGGGGCATCACATGTGCACTATGTATAGTGTGTGTTGATGTGTGCGCTCTGGGGATCCTATTGCAACCCGATCACGTATTTTTTGGTCCGATTATATACAAATTCGCTTCTCAGTTCTACGCTTGGTAGCAGAGGGGTAGGTCCTAGTCTTTCGTGTCGATCGGCGAAGCTGTAAGGTGATACGATAGCGCTCTGACTACGACCATGGCGATCAAGTAGCGCTCTGACTACGACCTTGGCGATCAAGTAGCGCTCTGACTACGACCTTGGCGATCAAGTAGCGCTCTGATAACGACCATGGCGATCAAGTAGCGCTCTGATTACGACCTTAGCGATCAAGTAGCGCTCCTGTGGCGATCTCGGCGTTCAAGCAGCGATCTGACGGCATTTTGGGCGGAGCTCCACGGATCTTTGTGCAGGGAAGTCGACAAGCGGCGACCCTGACAATCATAGAGATTAGATAGCGATCCATTAACGCTTTCGGAGATCTTAGCGCTCTATATGGCGATCCATGGCGATTTGTAAGAGCGCCACAGAGCGCCGCTTAGTGGAATGGGGTATAACTAAAACCCCCATTCCCCTGGGCGGCGATCCACGGTGATCTACGCGATCTGAAGGAGCGCCATAGATCGCCATATAATGAGGCGATATAGGGGTACTTGTGATCCGATTGCGATCAGATACCGATCCAGTAGCGATCCAATAGCGATCCAATAGCGATCCAATAGCGATCCAATAGAAATCTATGTGATCCGATAGCGACTTGATTGCGCTTTATCGCCACCCAACCACCCCAAAATGTGGCGATTTTGCACGATCAGTTCCCGCTCTATTGGCGATCTATGAAGATCCGTTAGAGCTCAAGTAGCGCTCTAGGCGATCCGATTGCGACCTGATCGCCGCAAAGGGGCCCGATCCTATAATAATCTGTGGCGTTCAGCCGCAGTCCTCAGTTCTGTGCTTGGCAGCAGACTGGTATCACCATGAACCATAGAGATGCTGCCATATTACAAGTGATTTACAATCTCGTGAACCATGCCATCGTGAACCAGCAGATTGCTATTCTGGCCCAGCAGCCTCGAAGAAGAAGGAGAAGGAAGGTTTTTTGGTTGAGACCCTGGAGCGCCATTGGAGCGCCACAGAACGCTACAGGGTGGCGCTCCAAATCGTGAACCAAACAGCGAAGCACAATCAGAGAGCCATCGAAGCGCAATCGCGGGCCAGTGCATCTCCGAGGAGCGCCATCAGATCGCCATGGAGCGCCGGAGATCGGTAGGCCAGCTTTTGTGGCGATCGGCGGCGCTCTATGGCGCTCTCACGGAGCGCCGTGGGTCGCCGCCTAGTGGAATTGGGGTATAATAAACCTCCGAGCTTGCCTACTTTGTAGTTTACGGCACATTTGTAAACAAGTTGTAGTTTAACCGTCGTCAATTTCAGTGTATTTAATAATTATATTATCTGAAATGTGTGCTGTATACACAGTCTAAGGCCCGGCTCACACAGTCCCGATGTTGTCTCCCGTTTGAGATCAGAGTGAGTGAGTGAGTGAGTACGGTTTTATGCCGCTTTTAGCAATATTCCAGCAATATCACGGCGGGGGACACCAGAAATGGGCTTCACACATTGTACCCATGTCGGGAATCGAACCCGGGTCTTCGGCGTGACGAGCGAATGCTTTAACCACTAGGCTACCCGACCGCCCCTTATATCTACGTAAACACAATTAATCCATTTTAAGTTCATGTAGAGGACGACATGAAACACTGGAACCAAAGCATTTATTTACTTTAGAGACAGATCACGTGTTAAAAGTCAAGGCAAAATGAATGAATATTGCTGATAGATGCAGGAATGTAGAAATAGAAAAAAAGGTTGATTGCAAACACCGATCGAGACTTCGGGGAAACCTCGGAAAGTTGTTCCGGCAAAAGTTCACACGGTCAATTTGACAAAAACATTTTTACATGGTGTTAACTTTTCTGCCAACTCACAGATGTATGAACTCAAAATATCAGATCACGTGACTACCCATTCAGCCAATCTGTATGAAAACATTGTGTAAACTTTAAAGTATTAAAATATTAATATACTGAACAGCAAAAGAAACGTCACCCCAAGTAACATTGCATGAAAAGTTGTCATTTTAATATCGTGGTAATGTTTGTCAAAGTTTCTAAAATTTAACATTACCTGGTCCAGAAAAATTAAATTGGATGATACAAAGACAAAGCAGATGACAATAAAACCGATCGCCCAAACGCATCACGGCACATGAAATGCACATGCTTTCCCCCATGTCCATCCTCCCAGATCCGATAACATTCATTCGTTATTGAATTGCTACCACATGCCAAGATTGACAAGAAATCAGTGACACCAAGCCCTTGGACGATTGCAAGCTGGACAAAAAAGTAGCCAATGCATTTCAAGTCAACATAAGGACCATATACAGTCTCTAGCAACGGTACAAGACTACCAACACTACAGATTACAGACCACGTAGTGGAAGACCAGGGGTCACCACCCGACGTCAGGGTCGTCAGATTGTGCGACAGCATCTCCAAAATCGCTTTGTTGTTGCTGCTCGACAGACCATGGGGACACACCTGCGACACATTAGTGCGGACACCATGCGTTGACGATTGACGAGCAGACACCTCCCCTGTCACAGGCAAATGGCTGATAGAGAATCTGGTGACGCCGTGGGGAACGTTATTCGGATGTTTGTGTTGTCGAGAGAGACTCGTGGGGTGGCCCAAGCATCATGGTGTGGGGTCGAATTGGTCTTGCACAGAGGGTCGGCCCTGTGGTCTTCCAGAACATCGGTCCAGGGCAAAGGTGTCACAGCAGCTCGGTACATTTATCAATACTTGAGACCACACGCCATACCTCATTTGGCACATCGCCGCAACCACGAGTATCAGCAAGATAACGCCCTTGCTTACACTGCGAGAGCAACAAGAGACTTCCTCCAGCAGAATGGCATCAGAACCATGCAGTGGCCTACCCGCAGTCCCGATTTAAATCCAATTGAGCACCTGTGGGACGAGATTCAAAGACGGCTGAATGACGTCCGACCAAGGCCGACAACTGCAGCTGAACTGCGTAAGGCGCTCCTCACAATGTGGGCTCAAGTGCCTATGGCTTTCACCAACAGCCTCATCAATTCCATGTATCGACATGGCACGGCAGTCATCAATGAACATGGCAGACACACGAGATACTGACTTGTGATGCCATTTTCTCAGAGACTACAGTTGCGTTCCACTTTAATTTCAACCTTGATGATCAGTTTTGCCAAGTTTCATATTTTAAAAATGTCGTGTACTATATTGCTCCTCCTAGATATTTGACTCATTATTTTGCCTTCGGTGATTGTAGACATAATACTGTGTGATTCAAAATGATTTGTTTATTATTATTGATCCTGTTTTCACTGATGTCACAATTTAGTTCTGTAGGTAACAATTTCGAGGTTAACATTCGCGTTTCAACTTGAGAATAAACTGGTAACGTTATAAATGTGCGTTTATTAACACAAATACATATTATCACAGGAACAAATGGCATATCAACCATTGTGACTGCCAGTTTATCTTATAATTTTAAACGTCAGGCTGTTTCCCCATCCTCTTCATGAGGAGGACATATGATTCTGTGTTATTTCTATTTTTTGCTGTCATCGCCGCTGTTATCCCATACTTGTTCTTGGCATTGACATCCACAACAGATTGAGAGAGAATATGCGTCACCATCTCCACATGGTCTTCAAGACAGGCGGTGTGAAGTATAGTGTCATTATTTTCATCAATTACCGACATGTTACCTCCTTTACTGACAAGGAAGTCAAAAAGTTCTATATTTCCTTTAGCTGATGCCATCAGCAATGGTGTTCTTCCGTATACTCCTCTGCTGTTAATCTCCACAATATTTTGTGAAATAATATGCATCACCATCTTCACTTTTCCAAAGAAACAGGCAACATGAAGGATATTAGAACCCCTATCATCAACTGCAGATGCATTACCTCCTCTATAAACAAGCAAGTCAAACACATTTGTATGCCCCGCACCTGCTGCCACCATCAATGGTGTCCTCCCGTACATCCTTCTACTGTTGACGTCGACAAAGTTGTTTGAGAGGACATACTCCACTACCTGCACATGTCCTCCACGGCTGGCGATATGAAGGACGTTGTCCCAAAACTTATCCACAAGTGAAGCATCACCTCCTTTACTCACGAGTAAGGCAAACACGTTTCTATGTCCGACTGCCTTCATCAGAGGTGTCCTCCGGTATTTCCCTCTACTGTTGACGTCCGCAATGTTCTGTGATAGGATATACTTCACCATCTCCACACGTCCTCCAATGCAAGCGAAATGTAGGATGTTTTCATCATCTGTATCCACAAGTGAAGCGTCACCTCCTTGACTCACGAGTAAGTCAAATACGTCTATGTATCCTTTTAATGCTGCCATCATCAGAGGTGTTCTCCCGTATATTCCTCTACTTTTGATGTCCGTAAGGTTCTGTGAGAGGATATACTTCACCATCGCGACATGTCCTCCAATCAAAGCCAGATGTAAGATGTTGTTACCATTAGGATCAACTACCGACACATTACCTCCTGCACATACGCATAACATAAACACTTCCCTGTATCCCCCGCGTGCTGCCAACAATACTGGTGTCATTCCGTGTTCATCCTCTCTACTGTTGATGTCTTCTTGAGCTTCTGTCAAGGCGTGTCGCACTTGGCCTAGGTCCCCCTCTCTGCAGGCTTCATGAAGTGTGTTTCTTTTCTGATCTCGTTTGTGCTGATGGGATCTCAACTGATACAACTTCTCATCTGAAATGTATTTATGGAATGACATAAGGGCTTAGGGATTTTGCTCATCTAACAATCGGTGCATGTGGCTTTATTTAGTAGATATAGTGAATAATTACTCTACAATCGAACATTTATTTGAAGATTCGAACAAATAATAATGTTTGTCTTTTAAAAAACCCTTTAACATACATACAAATGTACATGCATATACATGCATTTTCCTCGTCTTATCCCAAACAATTTCTGAAGGAAATCTTTATTCTAATTCAGGAAAATTGGAAATGAAGGTAAATTCAATAGACTCTTTCTTCATCTTAAAAGGGGGCACGGGGGACCCAGTCGTCTGTGATTCGCTGTGCAGAGTTGTGTCCTTTGGCACGCAAGAAACCTATGATTGTGGGTTCGAATCCCGGTTCGCCCCTATTATGTTTCTAGGTTTGTCAGTACCATACTCTGCTCGTGGGTTTCACCGAAGTGGTAACGTCTGAGACCTGCATCTCTTCAGGCTTTCCTCCCACCTTAAGCTGACCCTCCGCGATATAACTGGAATACTGTTAAAAGCGATGTTAAACCCAACTCACTCACTCAGTCACTCTTCATCTTATAAACTTGTTTGTGGAATGTGAATATTTCCTTTTCCACGACGATTAAATATTGGCTCACGGATGTGAAGTTAAATACTTTTGAGGGAACTGAAACACAACTGTTTTCAAGACATACTATGGACAAGAAATCATTACTGTTGGTAAATGAAAACGATTAAAACATGATCAATTATATCCCAAGTTATTTTTTCTTTGATAATATATTGTATCTATTCTTCTTAGGGAACCTGAACTCCGCATATCTTCTATTTGCATAATCTTATACTTTAAATGAATTTTCAAACAAATGAGTGAGTACGATTTTACGTCCTTTGAAGAATGTTCCATCACTATCACGACAGGAGACGTACGAAATGGTCCTCACATATTGTGCCTATCCATGTGAGAACGGTTTAACCACAATGATTTTACCAAAGCTTAAGTGAACTAGAACATGGAAACCAGACAAAAAGTAACTGGAAGTCAATTACCTTTTAAACAAACAGCTTTTCCAGAACGGCTCTCTAAGCATCGAGAACCAGGACTGCAAGACGTGGCTGCGCAGGGCCCAGTGGGTACCTTTAGAAAGAAGCAAACTGTACGGCTATGTACGTGTCAGGTCTGGGTAGGTATATTTATCTGGCAGCTCTTAATTTGCAAATGCATATATTGTATTACATGCAACCTAGTGGTCAAACCGCTAACCCAGGTTCAGTTCTACATTTAGGTGCAATGACGAAATAAATGAATGCAATCACCTACAATGTTAAATAATAATAATTTACAAACATAGTCAACTTACATCTGAATGATTCTTTTGAAGAACAATGAAGCCTTCAGTCGTCTCATTTCGCTTTGATTCACCAAGTCGCAGACAAAAAGTTAAAGTTTCATAATTGTATTCGAATTTCAAACAGCCACCAGTTTCAATACATCTAACTTGGCACAGCCTGATGCCTATGTTCCTGATAGTGACAGAGCTCTCCGTCACCTTCTCTGGTATTTGAACCTCACATTGTTTAATGCTGGATGTGGAAAGCCCAAACACGGAGTGAACAACTGCTGATACCAGAAGCAGGTCCTGCAGGACCCCTGAACACAGGGGTGGCATCGCCAGGTGTTTACACAGGAGCCCTGAACACAGGGGTGGCATCGCCAGGTGTTTACACAGGAGCACTGGGTACAACGACCATACACAGTTGAAGACCAGTGCACGACTGCTTATCCACACTACCCAGGCAGACCTCGCCTTGCCTTCTAGCAGTTGTTAGATAGATGTCAAGTGACAGAACACGTTAAATGTTACATGCGAGATCAATACAGCAAACTACATTGTGGAACCATGAAAGCTAATGTCACTGGAGGTGTACTGGGAACAAAATGTGTAAATGCTGGACTTACTCTCAGATAACATCGATGTGAAAGAGTTCATGTAGGATTCATGTAGGAATCCCTCTTGTGCTCCTGTCATTGCTGGTGTGTTTACTAAATTAAGATTTTGACTGGATATAAGTGAAAATGTTTTTGGCACACAAAATGTGTCCTATTTGGATAAGTTATCATTAATTCAAATCTAACTAAATCAATGCGTCAATAGCGGTAGTCTGACTGTGATTGCTGAAAATAACGGTGAGTTGAGCGATCTACCGATCACTTCACAAACGATTTCGTCAAAATTAATGTCAGCAAAAGTGAATGAAATTTTGAAAACAATTAATGAAATGGCTTACAAACATAAGTCCAGATGCAGTGACCAGTTGTAGGACAAGACCGTGTAATTACATAATTAATTTACGTACTTCATTACGGATTTGTGGAACTGGTTGCTGTTGTACAAAACACCATAAACCAAAAAGCAGCTCTCACACTTTGCCGGGGTGGTTGTCGAGCTTAACTCAGTTAGGACTCAGGAAGAGACTACATATATACGAGTATCATACGAGTACGCTACGAGTGTGTTACGAGCCCGATATGAGTCTATTAAGAGTTGCATACGAGCACAACGATCTCGATACGAGTTTGGTACGACTTTGGTATGAGGTGGCTACGAGCTGCTAAATAATTCGGCGGGAATTTGTAACATGATTTAACATAGAGGCTCGTATAGCTCGTATACATTTTCCAGACGATCTTCATACGAGTTCTGTACGAGCACCACGAGATGCCCACGAGGGTACTACGAGTAGGACGAGTTTGTTACGAGTTTGTTAGGAGTTGGCTGGCGATCCGGGTGTTTTGAGCAGTTCCAAAACTTTCGTAGATCAGTACGAGGTATCCCGAGTTACCCGAGTTTAGTACGACCTCGCTACGAGCTCCATACGAGGACCCCGAGTCAGCTCGGGTCCATACTCGGGACGCAACTCGGCAAAGTGTGGGAGCCCCTTAAGACTGTCCATGTTAATGCATGGGAGTTGTGATTACCTCAGCGCTAATATCGCTCTGCACAACGACTCCCTGGTATTTGCGGTGTTGTGTGCTAACTGTCATGTCTTGGCGTTGGGGGGAGGGGGGACATAACAAAATATCATGTATTTTAAATAGACAGCTATGTATGTTGTTTAAAGGGCGGAGGTTTGAAACAACATACACTTTTATAGTACGCAAGATAATTTCTAACTTAAAATATGTTATATCTCTCATAGAAATGATAACGATGTACCCCATAAGTGGGAATATTGCAGGCCGAGTACACAATAATATCTATTGGCCCTGCAGGACATATAGTGTTTGAGAAATCCTTCGAGCCCTGCTAGCACCCTTCAAAATTAACACCCTCTCTGGTCTTAACAAAGCATCATTTGTTGATTGTGATCTGAGATCAGTTGTGATCAAGGTTCGTTTGCAACCTGAGGGGATTATAGATTTCAAAAGTAATGTGTTCTGCAATAAATTGAAATTGTTTGCACACTATATAGACATTTCATTACAATATTTGATTTGTTAATGTAACTTTGCACTATGTCGCATCAGCATGATTAAATATTAAAAAATAGGCCGTTGGATCCACAGAACAAGTTGTTAAGAAAATGTCTCTATAAAAAATCAGTGCCTGGCCAGAATTTTCCACATACTTTTCCAGGACTTAGTAGTTTTGCTAACATGATTACTAATGAACCTATGTGCTAAAGGTGGGTAAATTCTTACAACTTTTCCTTTTGCAGCTTTGATGATCGCAAAGTTCAAAGAGATAAAGACCAGATGCTTCCCGAGATAATTCTGAACCATTCTGGGAAGCCATGGGTAAACATTCAGACACTGAGTGGTAAGTATGTTTTATCAGTGAAAGTCATTCAGTTAATAGCCCTGCTTAACAAGGGGAACCACTTGGGTTTTTTAAAATGCAGATTTTGCCAAAGGTGTTTGTGTCAGAGGAGTGAGTGGTTTTACACCGCTTTTAGCAATATCATAGCAGGGGACACCAGAAATTGACTTCACACATTGTACCTATGTCAGGAATTGAAACCAGGTCTTCGACATGACTAGCGAAAACTTTAACCACAAGGTAACGCGACCGCCCCTAAATGCTTAACACATAATATAGTAAAAAGTAGACAATGCTTACTGAGGTTTAACTTTTAAATAATACTTTGATCCCTGTTGTGACTTCATTTGATCAGGGTAAGTACTCAGCCACCTAATGATTAGGTGGTTCTTAATTCATAATTCTTATACTAAATTAAGTTAAATATTTGCATTGACATGTGCTATGATGTGATGGACTCAATTTGAAAATATTTCGTCTCAAAAGATGATATAATTGCCAGGTGAGCTACATAGCCCTTGGCTCTATTTTTAATGTTTTACCATGAAATATTTATTATTAAGAGAAACCATTTCATATTGTTGATAACTTATTCATTATTTGAAAGTTTATCATTTACTACATTAAAACAACAAAACTCTTTGGTCACTCATGCTCACTTGTACATGCATATATGTACTACAGGAAACACACAGAAATAAAAACAAAGTACCTCCTGAAGCGAACGTACTGCAAGTAATCGAGCTTACAAGTAAATAATGCTCCTTAAGCGTTCAAACTCACTTGTACATGAATACACCTACCACAAGACACACAAAAAAGAATCTCTTGAAGCAATAGGACTGTAGGTAATCGAGCTTACAAGTAAAGAATGCGCATTAAGCGTTCATACTCACTTGTACATGAATACACCTACCACAAGACACGCAAAAAGAATCTCTTGAAGCAATAGGACTGTAGGTAATCGAGCTTACAAGTAAATAATGCTCCTTAAGCGTTCAAACTCACTTGTACATGAATACACCTACCACAAGACACACTAAAAGAATCTCTTGAAGCAAATGTACTGTAGGTTATCGAGGTAATTGGAGCTAACATTGCATGATTCTGTGGTAAAATCAACTATTCCCCCCCGCAAGATATAATACAAAGTCATATGCATAGTGTCACTCATATTTATGGTTAGAAGTCACCATGGTTCTCGTCAGTATACCACAAGTACATTTAAAAGCGAGAATTAATTATTTCAAAAGGGGGCACGGGTGGCCTAGTCGTCTAAGGCATCTCTTAGGCACGCCAGAAACCTATAATTGTGGGTTCGAATCACGGTTCGCCCCGATTATTTTTGTAGGTTAGTCAGTAACATATTCTATACTACTGGGTACCCATTCACTACCTGGTGAACAGAGTCATATTTCGAACAATGTCACTTGCCTAAGTAGACATCACATGTAACGCGTGTTTCAGTGTGGGGAGGAGCTGAAGCCTAAGAGTGAGTGAGTATGGTTTTACGCCGCATTTAGCCATATTCCAGCAATATCACGGCGGGGGACACCAGAAATGGGCTTCACACATTGTACCCATGTCGGGAATCGAACCCGGGTCTTCAGCGTGACAAGCGAACGCTTTAACCACCAGGCTACCCGACTGCCCCGCTGAAGCCAAAAACGCCCAGGACTCAAGCTACCGAACACTTCCACTCATCCACGTATTCTCAGCGACCAACGTGGCTTAACTTGCCTGATGTGTTGCATGCGCTCTGTAAACATGGCCACCTGCCACTACATTTAATGTCTGTGCGCACCACCATTGCTTAAAACCTCACTGTCTCAAAGAAAAGTCATTTTTCCCACCGTCTGTAAAATTCTACAAGCCTACGCACAGCCTACTGCTGGGCTTCAGGGGAGACTAAAATGGATCTGGTTGGTCAGGGATTTATTTTATTTTGTGTTATCCTAACTGCATTGGATACTGATACTGATATGGCCTGAAAAGCGTTTCGCCTCACACCAATCAATGAAGCTTTTATAAAATATACCATGTAAACCCAAGTTACTATCTTTTGAAACATCCCTGTCTTGACACTTTATCACCCCTAACTCGCCCTGAAACATTCCAAGCTCCGGAAATGAACTCTACTTTCATATGGGGCCGGCATGTTCCGTGGAAACAATTACGGAATTGCAAAGGTTCGGCTCTTGACTGACGATATCAGAACTGAACAGGTCACGAATTACGAGTTACACGAGTCTGACTCACCAACTTGGAAACAACCCAAAATATTAATTTAAAATCCTGAATAACCAAAGCCATTTTGAACACTTAGCTAGTGCG